ACAGAAAGACGTTCAACAAATATTTGTCAAGCATATTCTATGTGCCAGGATCTGTGATAAGGCTACAGTAATGAATAAAATGACAAACTGTTAAAAGCGCTACACACCAAAAGCATGAGGAATTATGGGAGCTGGAGTCTGGGGAGAATTCTTTGAGGAAATGGTATTTGAATTAGAATCTCAAGAATGAGTAGAAGTAGGTTAAGTAAGGGGGAAAGCCTTGGAAGGTAGGAAACAAGAACGAATAGTAGGCGAAGTAAGGGGGAAAGCCTTTGAAAGGCCCCAAGATGCATGATAGCTGAGAGGACTTGAAAGAAGGCCAGTGTGGCTAGAACACAGAGAGGGAGAGAGTGAAGTGTGATTCAAATTAATTCAGCAAATAATATTGGCAGTCCAGTATTTGATAGTCATGAATAAGATAAAGCTATCTTTAAGTAGGCAGAGGTTGAATCACTTAGGACCTTGTAGGTCATGTTTTGAATCTGTTTTTGTCCTAAGAAAACTGGTGCAAAGTTTTAAGCACTAGTTTGTGTTTTGTGGCTGATAAGTGGAGAAGAGAATGGAGGGGTGCAAAAGTAGGAGAAGCAGCAACTGCAATAATCCCAGTGGGAGATTATGGTGAAGATGAAGAGAAGCAGGCAGAATCAAGGGGTGTCTAAAAACGTAAACTAACAGGATTGGGCAATTGAGTGAGGAGATAAGAAAGAAATTCCTAGGTTTCCACCTTCTGCAACAGGATGAATAGGAGGCACAAGAGGAAAGCTTATGAAGAAACATAGAATTTGGAATATTTTTGAGACACCTAAAGATGTCAAATAGCCTGGAAGAGATCTGGAAATCATCAGTAACTAAAGTTCAAAGTGAAAATGAAACCATTCTAGAAAAATTAGACCGAAAAAGAAAAGGACCTAAAGAAAGTTTTCAATTTAAAGACCAGGAGGATAAGCCTGAGAACATGGCTGAGAAGCTGTGGCTATAGCTGTAGTAAAACCATGAGAGTGAAATCACAGATGCCAATGAAAATGCGTCAATGCTGAGAAACTAGAAAATACTACCAAATGCTACTCACAAGTGAAGTGAGCTAAGGACTAAGAAATAACCACTGAATTTGAGGAAAGGTCACTACAAAGGTGAACTTAGTAAAAACTATTTCAGTAGAATCAAAGTGGTAGAAGTCAAAATGGACTAAGTTAAGAATGAAAATGGAGTGACCTATAAAATAGAGAGGGCCAAAGTGTCCATCTGTCTTGAGAAACTTATCTGTAAAGTAGAAAAGACAGGATGGTAACTCCAGAAGAAATGAGGTACAGAGTGGTTTAATTATTAACAGGGGAGTCTTTGGCATGTTCAAACACCGATGAGAATTCATTATAGTGGGTGGAAGTCAAAGGTCCTCAGAGAGAAGGACTATGATCCAGAACCCAGGAATAGGTTTTGGGCTTAGATGAGAGGGATGCTTGCTCTGTTTAGACAGGAGAGAAAGAATGATGCAGATGTATAAGAGTAAATTAGTTAAGATGTGGGATGTTGAGAGAATTACCAACTGCTAGCTTCTACTTTGTTTATAAACAACTAGGGTTACCTGCAGAAAATGAGGAAAATGGTAGGGAGTAATAATAGGTTTAAGAATGTTGGTTTGAGGCTGGGTGTTGTGGCTCACTCCTGTGATCCTACCATTCTGGGAGGCCAAGGCAAGTGGACTGCTTGAGCTCTTGAGTTTGACATAAGCCTGAACAAAAGAAAGACCCCATCTCTACTAAAACTTGAAAAACTAGCTGGGTGTTGTGGTAGGTGCCTGTAGTCCCAGCCACTTGGGAGGCTGAGGCAAGAGGATGTCTTGAGCCTTAGAGAGTAAGTTTGCTGTGAGCCATGATGCTGCCACGGCACTCTACCTAGGACAACAGAGTGAGATTCTGTCTCAAAAAAAAAAAGAATATTAGTTTGAAATAGTCATTGCAGGGAGCAGTAAAGATGACTAGAAAAATCTAGTAGGATTATAGGAGCCAAAACTCCATTTGAAGTAGGTAACAACAATTTCAGTAGTATAAATCTGCTCTATTAACAGTCCCTCCTTGGGTGGCATTTAGCTGTCCACATGCAAGCACAAATGTTTTCATTTTATTTAAGGGTCCAAAAGAGATGAAAGGCAAGGAAAGTCAACCTATTCCAAGATAAGCACTAGAACTTAAGCTGCAGAGAAATCTAATGAAGTAGGGTGCTAATGGAAAGAAGGTAGAAGAAAGGGTCTAAATGCTGCAGTGAAATCAAAGAACAATAGTAGAGTGAATGGTTCAAACAAAGCAGAAGGATGAAACAGATCCAAGTGTTTTGAAGATGGAACAGTTTGGGGTAATGACGATGGCCAGGATATAACTAAGGGAGTGGATGGCTCAAGACAGTAGAATTCACTGGCAAGTCCATCGAGGATCTAATAGACCAAAATACTGAATGGATTGTCTATATAAACATTAAAGTATCAAGGTGTGGGCAGGAAGACCAATGGCTATGTTTGTAAAATAGCAGAAGAGTAGTAGCTAATGAGATTTGTACACAAGTAATGAGAGAGGGTTATATGAATGAATAGCCCCAAAGGAATGAGACTTTGCAGAGGAGTGGACAGTTAAGTTCTGAAGCCACAATGGCAGGAACACCAAAATATCTCCAGTATGTATGCTTGTGGTGATGTAATGAAGGTCTGTCAATATTACTCCTAGGTGTCATGCTTAGAATATTACATTGCAAAAAAAAAGAATATTACATTGCTCTCCTTATGCCAATGGCTATCACTTTATAGAAAAACCAGAGGAAGGTGAGTGATTATGGAAGGTAGAATGGAAGAAATAAGGCTTTTCTCCTTAGTACTGAACACATTTATAAACCGAGAGGCAAGAACCAGGAGATTGAAAATTTAAGAAAAGGATAACTGATGAGTAAGACTGAGGGACACTAGTTTTCTAATGTCTAGAGGTGAGGTGGGTAAAAATGAGCTTCCAGATAAAAGCTCTGGAAGTCAAAGAGCACAGCCTTTAAAGTCAGACAGATCTATGTTCTTAACCCTTCTCCAGTGATTACTAATTATGTGACACGGAAAGAGAAGGAGCACAGATAATTCACAACGAAAGTTTATTGCAAGGATACACACAAATGATGATGTGGAAGAATTCTCCCACCAAGAACATAATATCCCAGGTCCCCATTCTCTGGTCTTCAGCAAGTTAAGAAGTTCCCAAGCTATTTTACTTGCATTTATACTTCCAAAGGAGCATATTTTAGGGGGTAGACATAATGCCATTCCCAGAATAGTCCTGGTCAGAAATCTTTACTTCCCCAACAAACATTTTTGTTCAAGAAAGAGAGAGAGAGAAAAAAAATATTTGCTCAAGACATAGCAGCTAAAGAGGGCAAAACACTTTGAGAAGTCACCTTCTCAGGAGGTAACTATATTAAGGTCAATTTCTGGTATATTCTGCATTCCTGTTTCCTTATCTGTCAAGTAAGGAGAATACCTCTTATAGTTTTGTTGTAAAGATTTACTTACAGCAAAAAATCTATTAATATCAAAACTTATAGAAAGTGGGTGCTCAATAGGTATTATTTTGAGAGGCAGCGTGGTGTAAAAGAACATGACTTTACTGTCAGATCTGCATTTTAACAGTCTGCCACTTGAGAATTTCAACTTTCTGATCTGCAGATAAGACAGTACGTCTGCTCTGTGGATAGTTGTTAAGGATTTTTTTTTTTTATTGTGGGACTCAATGTTTAGGACCTTCAATTTCTCTGTAAAAAATGAAACTGGGTCATCTCATAAGGGTGGGGCATGGGATCAAGGAAAGCAGTGAAGGTATAAAATAACTGCTGTGGTGATTATTGGAGGAAATAGACCAGGAACCCATAGAGCAGCGGTTCTCAACGCTGTTGCGACCCACAAGAACCGTATTAAAGGGCCACGGCATTAGGAAGGTTGAGAACCACTGCCATAGAAGATTGTGTGCTCCCGGTTAGGACTTAGCTGAAATTGGAGACTTGAATATTTAGTGGCATTCATTACACAACTGTTTTTCTCCAGCAGTATGAATGGAAAAATAGAAAAAAATACATGGAATGACATAAAAAGGAAGCCAAGGATGGCCAGAGAAAAAGGGTGATAGAATGATGTGCCATGCAGACTGCTGAATACAGAATTCCACAAAAGAGGGGGAAGCAATACTGAGGAAAGAATAGTGAATCTAGAATTAGAAATCACAGAACAGGTACAGTGGAAACAATGTGGGGTAAAGAGTGGAAGCTGAAATTAGATTATAGACAAGCAATGAAACATCGAGGTACCAAAGACTTCATTTTATCCTTTTTATCACTACTACCACCCTCTACTGCTTACTTGGGTTTCCTTTTCCTCGAGTTTGGCTATTCTGCAGAATATGGTCCCCAGGTTTTCCATTTCCTGACTGCTCCTGAAGACAAGCACACACACTTTCTTTGTTCAAAGGTTTACTGCTCAGCCCAGGAAGACAGGAAATACTGAGAAAGTAACAACCTGGGGAAATGGTTCAAATTCCAGAACACACTAGAATTTTTGCAGGTTTTAACTCTCTTCCATAGACACTAACTTCCCAGAAGGCAGTGCTCAAAAGCCCTGTGTTTTGTTTGCTTTTTTTGTCTGCTGTACTTAGATGTCTCCTTTCCCTAGATTCAGCATGTAAGACATAGTCCACAAAAAAATAGTTATGAACCAGTGCATACTTGGCTCACAGGTGAGCCAGACAGACCTCCCAGTTTCTGTTGTCTGAGTAGGAACCTGCATCCTGTTGCTATTACCAACCTTAAAATTATACATACAGACCTGGCTTTAACAAGATGCCTAGAAATTCTGAAGTTTTCCCTCTACATGTAGAAGGCAATTTCTCAGCTGCCAGGGCTGAAGCTACCATGTATTAAATCACAGAACAAAGGATGGTGCCAATAAAGTAGCCAAAGCTTCCCTGTCCAGAATATAAACCAAACAGAGTGAAAGGGGGGTTTATTGGCTCCAGAAAGAGGAGCAACGGTACCCGGGTTTCAGGCAACCCCTCATTCTCTATGTGCAGGATTCATCAAGACCAAGGTCCACTGGGTCCTTCCATCTGAGGGTCCATCCAGTGCCTTCTCTCCTGGGGTTGGGGATGGCTAGCTGCCTGAAGACGGGTCTCTGGGCTGCTCAGCAGCAGCAGCAGCAGCCGGCACAGCCGAGGCAGCCTCGTAGTCTGCGATGCGGCGCTGTACCAAGGCAGGCATGAGCTGCACATAAGCGGCCATGAGGCGGTGGTTGGAATGGATCAGCTTCCCAGCACAGCTGTGTAGGCAGGCCTCCTGGAAGAAGACAGGGTGGAAATAGAGGCAAAAGACATTCTGTCAGGCCCGGTTCCTTCCTTCCCCATCCCCAGCCTAGGGGTTGAGAGCCTTGCAAAGGCGAGGGCCAGAGAAGGGGGGAGTGGGGGAAGCAGTCTGTCGCTGATTCTTGCGAATCGAGGAATCCCCACACAGTTCCCACCTCCTCAGAGTCCAGAGCTCGGTGGTGCAGGCTGGGCACACAGCGCTGGAAGCAGAGTTCTGTCATCCGATTGTAGACCAACAGGAAGTCTCGCAACTGGGAGAAAAGGGGACCAGAACTCAGCTAAAAGGGTCCCACACTTCACCTCAAGGCTCCGCCGCCCGAGGTTTCCCACCACCGCGCACCACAGCCCGAAGTTCCTTTCCAGCCCTCGGATCCCCGCTTCTGTGAGGTTCCGCGATGTGGACAGCGAAGTGAGCTGCACGTCCGGCCCTGAAGCAACTTAGTTCTCACTCACGTTTCTCAGTTGCTGCTGCTGCTCCATCACCGCACCAGCACACCCCCGCCACCCTTCCGTTACCGCGGCTTGGCGCCGCCCCGGAAGTAGTCTGTCGCTGCTCCCCAAGGACTGAGGGGTTGGTTCGAGGTTCGCCCTGCCTCTAGCTGCAAACGTCACCTCCGCCCTTATACTCTGCGACGTGGCCGGCTTCTTCTGCCCGGAGAGAACGTCACTTCCGCCGAGTCCCTGACCTGCTGCTAGGATCGCGACGGGAACTGGAGCCCGAGGTCCCCGCGCGGCCCGGGCCTGGCGCCCTAAGGGGAAGAGCGGCCCGGCCCGAGGTGAGAGGGACATACGTGGGCTAGGAGAAGTTGAACGCACGAACCTGTCCTGAGGGCAAGATGCCCCCAAGCCCTGGGGAAAGATGAGGACACACCTGATGTCCAGGTGTATGGGGGGGCGGGGACTCACACACCTGGGGGACATAACTGACTTTGGAAGGGATCACCTATATCCTGGGAAAGAGAGGCTTTTATTAGAGACTGGGTACATACACCAACTGATTCAACTAAGGCCTGATGGGGAGGGCCCGAGGAAGAGGAGGTGCATGAGATGGAGGAGGGGGAGCGCACCAGAAGGAAGGGGTAAGAAATACTAAAGGAGTATGAAAGGCCAAGCAATGGAGAACATACCTGAATGGGGTGTGAACACCTGAGCCCTTGAAAGGGCTTCGTGTCCTGGTGAGAGTAAACACACCTGCTTGGGGAGAAGTTCCAAGAACGCACAGACTTTCACTCTCTGGTTCACTGCTGTATTTCCATTGCCTCAAATAGTTCTTGACACATATTAGGTACTCACTAAATGTCTGTTGAATGAGTGAATGCATGAATGATCACTGGAGTCCTGGTGAGGTTGAGGGATTGTGAGAGACGCTGGGGCTTTGGTGTGCACATGGAAAATTGTGCATTTTGGAGGAGGGAAATACCTATGCCTGAGGAAGGGTATAGTGGCTGAACCCTAGGACACTCAAGCCCTTCTGGGGCCATCTCTAAAACCTCAGAAATGGCAGAGGAGGCCTCCCTCTAGAGTGCTGGCTAGTGTCCAGAACTATCTGTGTTGGGCTTTGCAGGGTGCTGAGGTGGAGACTTTGAGTCCAGCACCTTCCCTAGCCATGACGGACGGGATGCTAGGGAAGGCAGCCACAATGGAGATCCCCATACATGGGAACGGCGAAGCTGGGCAGCTTCCTGAAGATGATGGGCTGGAGCAGGTGCTTCTGTTGAATTCTTGTAATTGTTTCAGTTTAGCAATCCCAATTTATAAACCATGATCTCTCACTCCCATTCCAGTAGCCTTCCCCTAACTTATCTAACTCACTTCATTTACAAGTTGTCATTCTGATTCTGTGTAGTCTTCCCTTGTATACTCTCTTTATGATGTTTCAGTTGAAACTTGTTCCCACCCCCAAAATTTTTCAGCTGACCCTGTGTTCCTGAAGCCCCTTCTCTTCCCTGGCCTATAGGATCTCCAGCAAGTGATGGTGTCAGGACCCAACCTCAATGAAACCAGTATTGTGTCTGGTGGCTATGGAGGCTCTGGTGATGGACTTATCCCCACAGGTATGAATGATGAGAAAGAAGAAGTTTGAGTGGAAACAGGGGCAGGAATGGTTTGGGGGAGTATTGGATATGTCTAGAGAGCTTGGGAACTTTGTTTGTGTGAACCCCATGGACCCTCTGCTAGGGTTTTTCTCTGCTTCCCTCTTACCATTTAGCTCCTGAGGTGGCTTATCTGTCCTTTCCCTGCCACCACCACTTCAGCAAAGTTAAGTCCTCAACTTTACAGGACTACCCTGCTTTGGAGCTTGAGTCTGAATTAGAACTTTGTGAGGCTTCTCAGAGTTTTACTTTAGACTCCAGAGTAACAAACAGCCCTGAATCCCTGACTAAGGTTCCACATGGAAATGTCAACATGTTTCCTGCTATTAGGACCCACCACCCTTGACTCCCCCCCACTCTGTGTATTTTTTTCCATTTGCTCTTGTATACCATCAACTTCACGCTCTCCTCCTCCACACTTCTCCAAGGAGGCCAGATGTAGATTGGAATTTGGTTCTCAGGGTATAAGGTCCAAGTTCTTAATGTGTAGGGGAATTCAATTGTCTCTAGCTTCTCCTTCAGGGAAATCATTTTCATGTGCTAGAAAAGAAGTATGGGTAGGCCCATACAGGTGTCTGGTGTATGTGAGAGGCTAGTGTCAGAAAACTTGGTCCTTTAGGGTCTGGCCGACATCCATCTCACAGCACCAATCCTGCTGGCCCTGGTGATGAGGTGGCTCGGGGCATCGCTGGAGAGAAATTTGACATTGTCAAGAAATGGGGCATCAACACATACAAGGTAAGATTTAAGCACCTCTCTCTTCCCCAAAACTCCCTCTCTGAGTACCTTTTACCCTTTGTCCCAGATCCTAATATTCCATCTGTGGCTGAAACTAGGAGTCTGGGGATGCTGGGATAGGTACCTATTATAGGGGGAAGGAGCTAGGGTCTCTGACCTATTCCCCCGCTTCCTAATCAGTGTACAAAGCAGCTGTTATCTGAACGATTTGGCCGAGGCTCCCGGACTGTGGACCTAGAGCTAGAGCTACAGATTGAGTTGCTGCGTGAGACAAAGCGCAAGTATGAGAGTGTCCTGCAGCTGGGCCGGGCACTGACAGCCCACCTCTACAGCCTGCTGCAGACCCAGCATGCACTGGGTGACGCCTTTGCTGACCTCAGCCAGAAGTCCCCAGAGCTTCAGGTACCTCAGTCAGACCAAAGAGGGTGGGAGTACTGGGCCCAGCCACTCCTAGACAGTCAATTCTTCAGCCTCCCTCCCTCCTGCAGCCCACAGGGAGAACCCTTCCAGGGTGGGCACAGACCTGCCCCCAGCAGCACCCACCTGTGGAGGCAGCCTAAGGGTTTGTACAGAGATCCAGAAGTTGGAGGGGTTGGGGAAGGGTATACACTAAGTGCCTTATAAGCAATCCCTCTCTGCACAAGGGAGAATGCCTTTGGTACTTGGCCTAATCAGAGCCCCTCTGTCTGCTGTATTAGCTCTCCCTATTCCAGTCTTGTGAATTTATCTGAGAACCCCCACCTCACATTCCTACCCAAGGCATCACCTGGGTAGTCCACTACCTTTGTGGCTCAGCCTTGCTGGAGGCAGTCCTTGGTGTTTCCAGTTTCAGATGGCTATTTCCTTTCTGGGGAGGAGGGTAGTGAGGGGCTATACAGCTCTAGGCAGGTAGAGTCTGTTACTCAAGTCCTGTCCCTTCCTTCTGCCCTCAGGAGGAGTTTGGCTACAATGCAGAGACACAGAAACTGCTGTGCAAGAATGGGGAGACGCTGCTAGGGGCTGTGAACTTCTTTGTTTCTAGCATCAACACTTTGGTCACTAAGACCATGGAAGACACACTCATGACTGTGAAACAGTATGAGGCTGCCAGGTGTGGACACTGGTGGGGCCTAGAGTTTGGGGAGTTTGCTGCTATGGAAGTTTTTGCATAAGGGCATAACAATTTAGCAAGGAAAGGAAAGTGTGTGTTTGAGGACAAAGGGGTGGAGACCAGCCTGTATCACCTCCTCCCCAGGCTGGAATATGATGCCTACCGAACAGACTTAGAGGAGCTGAGCCTAGGCCCCCGGGATGCAGGGACACGTGGTCGACTCGAGAGCGCCCAGGCTACTTTCCAGGCCCATCGGGACAAGTATGAGAAGCTGCGGGGAGATGTGGCCATCAAGCTCAAGTTCCTGGAAGAAAATAAGGTGCCAACCCCACTCCCTTGACCCTAGCCCACCTTCCCACCTGTGACGCTAATCTTCCTGTAAGGTCCTCCCCATCATTGGATGGGGAAATGCAGCCTATCTAGATAGTGGGACATTCTTTGCAGCTCCCTACGTCCCCAAGCCTTTCCAGGTCACCTTCTCTACAATTCCTGAGCCTTTCTTGTTGGGGGATTTGGCTGTGGGTCTCAGAAGCATAACTGGGAAAAATCACTTTCGGAGTTGGGGTACCAGAACCCTGGGCCCTGCAGTTGAAGTCAGATTTCTCCAGTCAGATTGACCCATATCCTTTGACTCCCTGGGTAGGGTTTAGTCCCAACCTCAAAAGCACCATCACAGCAGAGTATGTAGACTCTGGTCTGTGCCCGGGCTCAGGCTCATAGACCCTTAAGAAGGGCACCTGAGTCCAGCCTTAGCTGACCCTGCTGGACCCCCAGATCAAGGTGATGCACAAGCAGCTGCTGCTCTTCCACAATGCCGTGTCCGCCTACTTTGCTGGGAACCAGAAACAGCTGGAGCAGACCCTGCAGCAGTTCAACATCAAGCTGCGGCCTCCAGGAGCTGAGAAACCCTCTTGGCTAGAAGAGCAGTGAGCGGCTCCCAGCCCAACTTGGCTATCAAGAAGGACATTGGGAGGGGCAGCCCCAGGGTAGGGGAGATTGGACTTGGGCCATCCCTTGCCATTTGCCCTCTGGCTTGGGCTCCATTTTCCTGGATGGGGCCTGACACCAGTTTTGCCCACATTGCTGTGGTGGGAAGAGGGCCTGCAGGCCCAGAAGCTGCTGCCCTGTTCTTTATCTTCCTGGCCACTGGGCTTTATTCCCAGATCTTTTTCCTTCCACTCCACAGCCAAAGGCTATGACAAAACCACTCCCTGGCCAATGGCATCACTCCTCAGGCTGGGGTGTGCCCCCTGACCAATGGCAGAGCCTCAAAAGGCACTGTCAGCCGATGGCAGCTCTTCTTGGGCTCCCCTGGGCCAATGATGTTGCCTCCAATACCCTCTGTCTCTCCTCTATGCGTGCCCATTGCAGAGAAGGGGACTGGGACCAAAGGGGTAGGGATAATGGGGAGCCCCATTTCTGGCCTTGCATCTAAATGGGCTTCTCTTCACCTACCCACCCAGTTTAATTGTGCTTAGAGCCCAGGAAGATTGGGATCTAACACTAGGAATAAACCTTTCATAAAA